TGTAGTACAGAGTGTAGTACAGACTGTAGTACAGTACTCCCGTTCCCTCTCTCTGATCTGTGTCTGGCTGCTCTGCTCCTCGGTTAAACCACCACTGGAACGGCCCTGGAACCAGTACACACAGTACACACACACTGTACACACACACACACACACTCGTCACTGAATGGACAGAATCAGATGAACTTGTCTCTGCGTCTCCTCTCGGGTCGTCCGGTGACACTCTCAGCGGCGGCAGCAGGCCGGCTCGGTGCCCGGGGGCGGCCTGGTCTGCTGGACGCTCATGAGACAAACGCTGCCTCTTGTTCTAATTTGATTTCCCATGAGTTGGAAGATGAGCTGTAATCAGCTGCGGCGCTGAGGCCAAGTCTCCACTGAAGGCTGGCTCGCAGAGCTCCCAGAGGAGAGAATGTACACACACACTGGAAAGACTCCTCTCTGTCCGTCCACTCACACCACTTTCCCTGCGTCTCAGCCATGTTGAGCAGGAGAACCGGGGGGGGGGGGACTGCGAGTCCTCCTCCTCGCCTCCGCCCTGTGTGTGTTTTGGACAGCAGTCGTGTGAGCGGTAATTGCGCTCATGGATCACTCATGAGCGGGAGACAGACAGGCGTGCGTCTTTCTGGGTTAGGGCAGAGGAGGGAGCGACGTCCAAGGCCTGCTGGGAGTTAGAAAAGTAAGAGTAATGTGTTGTTTCCGCACAATGCAAAGGAAAAGTCTGATGCGGCGCTGGTGACAGAGGGAGATTAATGGGATTTGTTGCATAATCTGACCAGTTTTCCGAGCTTTGACTTAAAGTCAAACTGTGAGCTGACTACGAGGAGAGCCAGAAAACCTAAAGCTGTGGTTTTCTAATTAAGTCTCCACCAGCAGACTTTGCCGATCCAAATGGTCCAGAACCAGTGTTGTTGAGACTTGTCATTTATTTAGTACCGACTCGTTCTGAATCTGACCCTGGGGACCTCTATGGGCCGGGACTTTATTACGTCCCCCAGGGAGGGTTGAAAATAAATAATAAATCAAACAGGAACAAACGTTAAATTTATCTCTGATGTCAGACTGAAGTCAAACGCCCATGACAACCTCACATCTGCTCCGCACTACATGTTCAAACGCCCATGACAACCTCACATCTGGTCCACACTACATGTCAATAATAATAATAATACCATATATATACCATATATACCAATAATTATACCATATAATAATAATAATTATTATTATTATATGGTATAATCTCCAGACAAAGAGGTTTTTGAGACCTGATAAAATACCTGGACACACAAGTGTTTTATTGTAATTTTTGCAAAATCACTCAAGATTTACAATTTTAGGAAATGAAGTACTACTTAGCATAGTACTAAACAGTGTCTGCATTTCGTTAGAGTACACCAGTACTGTCTTGTGCCTAGCCTCTAAGTACATACATTTTTTATTAGTTCTGCAAAATGCATTGCGAAATATTGTAACATAGCATATGGTATTTAATACACAGGCCACACATTCCTATTACCTGGACCACTTTTTGCCCCCGGACCAGGGGTTGAGACATCACCACAATTTTTTTTAAAAATTTATTTTCACAAAATTTATTTTCTCATTGTGACCAATGAGAAAACTCGCTACTATAGCTGATTGCACTGTGTTGTTGTACAGGGGTGTTTCTAGACACACTGGGGGCCCCGGGCAGGAGGGGTGACATCGTCACAGTGTCTAAAGTAGATCAGTCATTTTGTCATTGATTTATGGACCAATAACAGCCGTCTCTTGGGTAATTGCCAGGGTCGCCTGCCCCGTTGTGGCGCCCCCTGGTATTATACAGTATTATTATTAACCCCAGAAATTCTAAGGGACTTTTGTAATTTTGAATGGAACATGGAACACTGGTGTGACCCTCCAAGGAGATCGTGACGATGTCAGCATGGGTTCGAGACCCTCGAAATGTACGACGTAGATCGGATTTATTTACGTTGTCATTTCAACAAGGGCAGTGAAACAGCATCGAGGAGCGAACGGTGTAAGGAACCCATGCCAGCAGGGTGGAGTGAGAGGAAATGAGTGTCAGCAGTGATGAGTGATGGAGGAGAACGGGTGATGATGTGGAGCCGTGCAGCCATGTACGATCGGAGACGCAGCCGAGGATGTGGATCTTTACTGGATTAAAGAGGAACGGCTAGGACAAGACGAGGCCTGGCTGAGGTCGGGTTCACGAGACACGGGTAGAAGCCTCTAGAAATAATTCTCGTTTGTCGCAGGGGTTACGTTCCAAGACCACCCGCGAAAGTTGAGACAAGATCGTTATTATATTATTTAAGTATATATTATCAAGCCTTTACGAACCATTTAGGACATTGTTTCCCAAAGACTGGGTCGCGACCCTCGGGTGGGTCACAAGAGATTTATTTTTTGGGTCGTCTCGCGTCATGTTTCCCAGGAGTTTATGAATAATATCTATTGACTTGGGTCGCGAAGGTTGTTTACTTTTAAAATATGGGCTCCCGGAAAAAAAGTAACGAAAAAAAACCGTAACGAAACTTTCGCAAATCTTGTTAACCCATACGTACGGGTTATTTCTTGCAATACCCCGAGATAGAGCAAGAAATCCGCACTACAAGAATACATTAAAATATTGCAAACCCGAACGCCGAACCGCGATACACTGAGGGACGACTGTATTTATATTGATTATATTTGGTCATAATTTATTTGATTCAGTTTTTGAAAAATAAAATCATGATAAAAACATATTGTGGACGTAAAAACCGATTATCGTATCGTGCGTTGAGTGTATCGTTACACCCCTAATGTCCTGTAGCACCACACAGTGGTAGGGTGTCTCCTAACATTTTCTGTCCTTTGACCCAATCTTTACGTCACAAATTTCTGGCGAGCCTGAAAACTATTTTTTCCCCCTGCAGTTTGTTTTTGATCATGTTAGCTATACTGTGTTACAAATACAGTAGAGTAGCGCGGGAACTCAAGTCATGTGACCGCAGCTGTCAATCAAGATGCTGCCTTTTATTTAAACACCTCTTTTAATCATAATTTTAAAAAATAATAGAAATTAAAAGTATTTTTTATCAGAAATGTTTCTGATTTCAGGCGACACCACGGGGGTTGCGACCCCCGGGTTGAAAAACACAAAAACAATTTGGTTTTTCATAAAACAACAACAACAAAAAAGTAAATTGGAGAAATGTTTTCTGTGTAGTATAGTGCGACGGGATTTGCCCGAAATTCCCATGATGCAATTCTCAAAAAATACGTTTGCAGCAAAAAATGAATGAACATGTTTGTGTATTTTTCTTTATTAGTCTTTTTTGAATTAAATGATGCTAATGATAATCAGTAGGATTGTTTCAGATATCAGTGTATCGACGATGTTTTGATCGCTAATTCGATTCGGTAAAATCAGATATCAGTGTATCGACGATGTTTTTTTATCGCTAATTCGATTCGGTAAAAGAATCTGAACCGAGTACAGATACGCAGTTCTGAGGGAGCCTGTAATCTGATACTGATAATAATATTGTTGGCGCAGTTGCTGCGTGTGCTGTAGACACATGGGCCGCGCGGTGCAGAGTGGGAGCAACAACACAGTGGACGAGGGGGAGTTTCTTCTCACAATCCCGGTGACTTCAGCTCCAAGGAGGAGGTGATATTCATGGGAGCAGGATTCAAACTCCCTCAGTTGGAGTAAAGAGGCGCCGATGTCGCAGCTCCTTCTCAGACTTGTTTTTAAAAAAACGACTTCCTCCGCAACGTCCAACACACGGAATGATGTTTGCGTGAAGTTTCTCTGATTTCAGCGCTGGAAGCAGAGACGCTGGTGGACCCGGTGGATGCTGATTGGACCCGAGGACACCCCGAGTCTTCTACCTGGGAGACATGAAGAGGAACCCACCAGTCGGCCAATACTGGACCAGGATGCAGTACTGCACAACTCTGTCTTGTTTCTCACTAATCGCGGAGTTATTTTTATCTGTTCATAAACTGTCACTCCATCTCTGCTCTTCCACGCGGTTCTTTCAAAACTTTTCATGGTCAAAATGGACCGAACGGGACTCGCTGTTTTACTGCTTTTGACTGTCGCACTTGGTCACAGTCACAAGGAAGCGTCAGGTGGAAGGAAGGAGTTTTCGGGACCGGAGCGGACACCCCGGGACCAGCACCACCACCACCACCAGCAGCAGCAGCAGCCGCCACAGGGTCACATCCCAGAGGGGTTCACATCCTCGGTGTCATCCGGTGACACTTCCCCAGGCAGTGGATCCAGACAGTCCAGGACCCTGGTCCGTCTGCCCAGATCAGCATCATCCACGACGGACGGCAGATCGACCTCCAGAGCGGGAGGTGCTGCTGCTGCTGCTTCTGTAGCCGGGGTCTCGCAGCCCCCTGCGCCGCGGGATGGTGCGCAGCGCAGCGGCCGACAAACATCCAGCAGCCAGCAGCACAGAAGCAGAGGAAACCACAGGCAGAGCAGCAGCCCCGGCTCCGGCCGCACGAGGAGGCTCGTGGGGTAAGGTCGACCACCAAGTGTTCCACACACACTAATGAATCAACACTTTAACAAACCACCCAGGAGCCCGGCGACCCCCGGGTTTCCCTGCAGCCCAGCCCACGTGTACTGTGAAATATTAGTGACCCACTTCTGCTTGAAGTGTTGTTTCTGTAGGACAAACCGTGTGATGACGTAACTAACCCACCCACGGAGGACACCCTGCTGCCATACCTTACTGTCTGTTATGAAAGGTGTTAAAGGGGTGATTTATGAAAGAGTTACAGTTTGTCTAGGTGAAAACGACTCCCTTCCCCTGCAGAGGGCGCTATAAACGCACCTGTGATGCTCTGCTTTTGAAACTTAGTATGCTGCTGCATTAATGTCTCACATATTTAACGAGTTTAATGCGTTTTTCCCAAATGGAAATTGGGGTTCGAAGACTAGTGATGTCCGGTCGTGTTGACGAAAAAAAGTGCACAGCGCCCCTGTTTGGTACAGCTGGGTATTGTCAAAAAAATTTACTTAATTTAGAAACAAAAACGTTTTGGTCGCAAACAATAGTGATGAGGAAAAAAAACATGTCCTGGGATGAAACTTTTATTTGCTAACTAACTAACTAACTAACTAACTAACTAACTAACTAACTAACTAACTAACTAACTAACTAAACTAATTTAATATAATGTGCACTAATGCTACATAATGGATCACCCATGTAATTGTTTTAACGAAATAAGAAAACGTAAGAAGAGGGCAGCATCTATGCTCACGAAAAAAAAAAAAAAGCAAACATTGAATGCGCAGATTTCGCCGTTTCTTTCTGGGCTAAACTTTTACTGCACATTGAATAAAAGTGCATGAAATCCTTATGGTTTCTGCGATGCGTTATTTTTACATTAAGGTCAAAGAAGGACAAGCGTTGAATTCCTATCGTTGACAGTTGTTGCTGATAATGAGCAACAACTGGTCAACCAACGGCTCTGAACTGTCTGTTAGTAAACCATCACTGATCCGTGAGCCGTTAACGTTATTATCATCATTCATCAAACATTACAGTCCATATAGTAGACCAGCTGAAGTCCACCCACAGTGTGTGTGTGTGTGTGTGTGTGTGTACCTCTGCCGTTGCCTGTGGCTCTTGAACATTTTCAGATTTGCTCCGTGATCAGAAACACCTGTTTCTTTCCTGCTCGACTCTCCGTGCAGCAAATCCCACATTTGTGTCGACTCCAGACCGGACGACGGGCTGATTCCGTATCAGGGCTGTTTTCGTTTTTGTCAAACGGAGCCTCGTCCATCAAATCCTATTTGTTACATAAAGGCAGAGCGCGGTACACACTGGAGGGAGAAGTATTTACATCATAATCAGAGCTGGAGGAGGCTGTAAACAGCTCACCTTCAGGCTGCAGACAGTGGGAATGAAATGGAATATCTCTCCTGTGTCTCACGGCCGGGCCTCGCTGCTGTGGTAAAACTTTACTGCAAATTTATGCGAGTTGTTTTATGTGTGGTATGAGGATTAAGTTGTAGCGACTGAAGTCTGAAGTACGAGGAAAACCAAGTAGAAGGCGACAATGGCCCATACATTTCATCTGATGCCCCCAGTCTGGCCCCCCAGCCACCTGTTTGCTATTGATACCCTCACAGTAGAGGTTGACTGTAAGGCCCCAGTTACAGTCTGTTACGAAAGGTGGTAGATTTGGTGATTAATGAAAGAATTACAGTTTACATAGGTCAAAACAACTCCCTCTCCCTGCAGAGGGCGCTATAAATGCAGTTGTGATGCTCTGGTTTTGAGTCTTAGTATTCTGCTGCATTAATGTCTTATAAATGTAATGAGTTTAACACATTTTCCTGAAAGGAAATTTGGGTTCGAGAGACTGACAAAGCCTGAAGTACAACGGCCTAGACATTCCATCTGATGCCCCCAGTCCGGCCCCCCAGCCACCTGTTTGCTATTGATACCTTCACAGTAGAAGTTGGCTGTGGCTCAAAAATAACACTCGCCACTTACCGCCCACGTGAAGCCATCGACGGGGATCTTAAATGGCACTTAGCCTTTTTACTGACTGTGGAGATAAAATAAATACCGCGGTATTTATTTTACCACCAAAAAAAACCCTGATTTTACACGCAATAAAAAAACACTCACGTTTCTGAGCACATGTGCCGCTCAGACGCTCGCGGCGTGGTGAAATTCAGATGCCGTCTATTTAAAGGCAGTCCATAAAGAAAATAACCGCCTGTAGAATGGGATCCAACGCTGCTTCATTGAGGCGCTAGGCAAGAGCCTCGTCTGCGGCGGCGGCGGCCAAGAGAGAAAAAAAACACATTCAAGTGTTTAATGAATAGAGCTCTTTGAGTTTTAAAGAAGCATGAAGGTAGCAGTACATAAATCTGGGAGGACATTACCTAATAGTTGTCTGCGCGTTGATTTGAACACTTTGATTCATTAGCGTAACATGAATCACCGGCTGCTGGTTGGAGAAAATCGCTCTCATGACACATTTCCCTTTTTGGAATTCCCGCTGCGCTCGCTCCTTTACCGCCCCCTACGGCACTGGCTCCAGAGCTTTACATTAGAGTTGGCTGCGTTTGACTCTCCTCCTGTTTTCTTTGCACCTGTCTGACTGATGGATCCAGATACTTGTGGTAAAATAATCAGCCGGCTTTTCGTGTTGTGGTTTTGAATAACGGCCTAATAAAGTGTGAACATGTTGTTATCTATACTTTAACCTGCGGCGCGACCTCACTTACTTTGTATCAACCGCTCCGTTGGAGATATACAGGAAACCTCCAGACGCTAAGAATTCAAAGGTGATGACTGATGCCCTTGGCACGAGGCCTGGACTCATGTGTTTATAGGAGGAATACGACCTAGTTCTGTTTTCAACACGGGGAATGTCGATCCAGGCCACGGAGCGTTGCCAGTCAGGAGTACAAGATAGTTTGGCCCCTAATGTAGTCATCCTGCCTACCTGTGTGTGTGTGTGTGTGTGTTAGGAATGCAGCTGTGAAAAAGTGAAACCATAGGTGCAGACAGAATAAACAGGTGATCATCAACTGGAGGCTCGCGGGCCAAATCTGGCCCACCAAACCATCCAATCCGGCCTGGAATCCAAAACTGTGAGGATCAAACAGGAAATATTATGTGGTTCTCATTATTAAGGAAACTGAAAAAAATAACAAAACAATCTCCACCATTTATGCCTCTATTTACATTCTGTTAGACCAGGGGTGCCAAACATACGGCCCGCAGGCCAAAACCAGTCCACTAGGTGGTTCAATCCGGCTTGTTTGATGAATTGGCCCGCAGGCCAAAACCAGCCCACTAGGTGGTTCATATCGGCCAACTTGATGAATTTTGAAAGTGGAAATGCACAAATACCCCAATAAATACCTTCTAGAAACTTCTAGAAGTTTCTAGACTCTGTTGCACAGTCAGTCACAAACCTCGGTTTCTCTTCAAAATTAAGCTAGTATAGACGCCGCAACCAGATCCTGGTAAACAAATTTTACTGAACCAGATCGCCCCCACCTGGACACCTTAGATACATGTGCACTGGTAAAACCTAGCATCTGTACCTCTGAAGAACCAACCCAATGTTGCGTAGCACTTGTAGTAATATGTTGTGCATTTTTACCTCTTTCCTCAGGAGCCAAAAGTTCAGCAACTCTTTGTATTTTTTACATTCTCCTGCTAATGACCCAACTGGCTAACATTAAACTACAGTGCTACGAGTTAGAGAAAAAGGTCTCATACCTGAGTTAATGACCAAACCAATCCTGCTCAGGGGGAGTCAGTCTGAGGTCAGTTATCTTCTCAGATCACCACGCGTCAGACATCCACTCACGGTAATCTCCTGTGAAGCGGCGATGGCGCGCAGTTCCTCGTCAGGTGGCCGTGTCTGTCTGTGATACTTCATCGCTGTGAGTGAGGATTAAAGAATCAAGCTAAAGTGTTTAAAACTTGTCATATCTCATTTGCGCGCTGGATTACAGTTCTTTTTTCCCCCCGTTTCCCCAGAGTATAATCTCTTCAAGGTAAATGTAACTGTGTGTGTCTGTGTTCGCTCCGGACGCAATCAGAGGCCTGTGGTTTCACACTCGCAGAGTTCCGTGACTTCAGATGATTTTCATGAAATGAAATTATGTAATTGAGGAGTAATCTCATTTGTGTTCCTGTCAGTGGATCAGCTTCGCACACAGACTTGTGTGTCATGCAGAGGTCTGAGGTCTTCAACACTTTACAGTGATTACTGTAGAACAGAGGTCCTCAACAGGGGGTACGCGGCCCATGGTCGGTTCGTGGAGGACTGGGGGTGGGGCTTGGGAAATGTTTTGGTCAAAAAGACAAGGTGTCCTCGTTTTTTGACGTCCTCGACCTACATCGCAATCCTCCATTAATTTCGCAAGGGGACGAATGCATCATCACGGGGCGTTAAACGCAGAAGGCAGCTTTGTTTACATTGGCTGGTTCTACGTCATATATTGAATTGTTCTACTTTCACTTTCTTTTGTTGCATGTTGTTTTTGGGAACTTTTTGCCCTTCAAAAAGCCTCCCAGGCGTATGTTAGACTCTTCTGACGTCTGTCTCCTAAACTATGATGTCATCACTGTGTTAGCGTTGGTGACACAGACAGTTATGTACAGTATGAAAATTCCAACCTACGCTAAAATTTAGTTACATCGCCCGGTAGGAATGGAATTCTGGAAGTTGAAGATCCCCTGTACATATATATTTTTTTATTTTACGTCAAAATTGAAGTGTTTATGGTAGTTAATTTGTAGAGATTAAATTAGATTAAAAATGAATTTTAGCGCACGAAAAAGAATGTCTCCGACAGTATATCCAATAATTTCACTGTCCACCCACTTACTGTTGCTTCAATACATAATCAATATTTTTTTTAGATTAAAAATGAATTTTAGCGCACGGAAAGAATGACTCCGACTGTACATCCAATAATTTCACTGTCCACCCATTTATTGTTGCTTCAATATATAATCAATATTGAGTTATTTGCTCACCTTGTGGGAAAAAAACTTTTCAAAGCGGGTCGAGGCCTTTATGTCCTGTATAGGATTGTTCATTTGTCTTGATTAATCGCAAGTAATCAGAGCAAAAATGTTCACTTGTTCGCTAGCCCTAATATATTTATAATGTTTTAGCTAATACATGTTTATATGAACTTGTGTGTTATTTAAACAGCCTGCTGGAGAAAGCCAACTTACGAGGTAGATGTCAGATTTGGAGCAGTTTGATATAAAACCAAACCAGTTCTGATCGTGATGATCGGACTGGTCTGTGTAGGACTGTGGGTTGAACGGTTTCCCTGAGTGTCTCCTTACAGCGTGTGTTTGTTTGTGTCTTCCTCTGTCCAGGCCGAACGTCTGTGGAGGTCATCAGTGTTGCTCCGGCTGGGCCTTGGCACCAGGAACCAACCGCTGCATAAAACGTGAGTTTCAAACGTATCTTTGTCCCGGTCTTTGTGTGTGAATGCACTCTGGTTCTCTCAGATATTCAAAGTATCAATGTTGTTGTTCGTCCTGGAAGTCGTGAAAAGACCATCTCTATGTACAGTACCAGAACTAAATGACCTAGAAAATTCTGCAGACACAGACTTTATGATACTTTACACACTTAAGAAAAACAAGAGATACCAATAATTATGCTGTCAAGGGTAATTAATCTTTGCGAGTTTTCCTACGACACTGCCCCGTGGTCATGTTCGTGGACTTTTGCTTGCCTCTTCTTTTCATGTTAAATTTTTCACATGGAAAGTACAAGCACTTAGTTTCTGGCTCGCTGGGAGACACAAGGCCACAATTATGAGTGGAAACTGCTTTTCCTTTTATTTGACCACTGAACTACTGGATAAACCGACAGCCAGATAGTTAGCAGTGGAGTCACAGACGCAGGCCGGGAATGAAGAGTCAAACAGACGGAGGTGTGTCCTAATCATTGATACTGAGAAGAAGATAATGGTGGTTTGTGTGTGAGGAAAACAAGGTGCACTTTGTTTTAGGGGTCAAATGAGGTCAGATTGGAAACTTTCTTTTTCGTGACAAACGTTTAAAATAGGCCCCAAACTAAAGGCTTTAACCTGGATTAAAAACAGAAGTGAGTATAAATACAGACTCAAGAAGTTACTGTTACTGTTTGTTTACTAAAATAAATAAACAGTAACAGTAAATTAAAACATTATTCATTTCAAACCTATATATGTATATACAGTATATGCATATATATATCCATATATATGTATATTTATATATATGTATATCTATGTATATACATATACATATATACAGATATGTATGTATCTATATATATTTACATATATACAGATATGTATGTATATATCTATATATATTTATGTATATATTTACATATATTTATATCTATATTTACATGCAAATTTATATAAATCTATCTATATGTATGTATATGTAATATATATTGAAATATACATATTATTCATTGAATACCGACATATACAGTGTATATATTTATATATATATTCTACATATACTGTATATGTATAGTATATACAGAGTATGTTTGAAATGTAATATTATAATATTTACATACATATGTGCACACAAACACACATATATGTGTATATTTAGTTATATATGAGTAAATATACATTTATATTGTCATTTGACTAGTCTACCCTTCATGACTCTCACACCCACACCAGGTTTATATGTGTATTTTACATTTCCTTCTATATTTGGAAAATGTCTTTTACACTAAACCGAGCCCTTGTTTTATTCTGACTTGACTTTGACGACACCTTGATTTCCTGTGTTCTCTGTCTGGAATGTAACCTCGATGGTTCTGAAAAGGCAGCGACTTATTGTTGCTATTATTGTTGCTGTTGTTGTTGTTAGAGGCTAAAACAGTGTGTGTGTGTGTGTGTGGGGGGGGGGGGGTTTTTTTGAGAGATTAAATATAACTACATATATATATTTTTAACCTTCCAGACTTGGATTTGGACCTTGTTTTATTACAGAAACCAAACCAAGTCCGGTTCCTTATTTTAGCCTCAGTAATTACACTGGTGTTCGCATTAAAGTTTGTTCTGCATTAGCTGCACCGTCTGGATCTTTAACTTTAATGTAAACTGCTGCAGTAAACTTCTTTTTTAGTTCCAGTTTCTGATAATAAAAAAAAAACAGGAAACAGGAAAGGCGACAGCAGATGGCACGTTATATATGTCACATATATTTTTACAGCGTCCACCGTTTCTCACGGACTGAAGTCAGAAGTGGAAACTTTTCAGATATATTTCAGAAAGTTATCTTTATATTTTACTGGACGGGAACCCACGTGTTGAGGGACTTTTCTTCCCCGGTGCAGGGACTGGATCTGTCTTTGAAGGAACTTGTGTTTATTTTTTTTCTTCCTGCTTGTGTATCCTGACCAACTACTCACCTGTAAACAGAGGAAACCACCCAGGATCCTCTTCACTCATTAAACCTGAGCCATGTCTTGAACACCTTCCTAACTGGTACGCTCCGTCACTTGTTTACTGTTGCTGGTCGCTGCCTTCCCTGGTGTTCCTTCCTCCTTCTATCTGCACTCTATCTCTGCGGATTTCGTTTGCTAAACCATTGTTTCTCAAAGACTGGGTCGCGACCCTCAGGTGGGTCATCTCGCATCATGTTTCCCAGGAGTTTATGACCCAATCAACTTGGGTCGTGAAGGTTTGTGACTTTTAAAATATGGGTCCCCAGAAAAAAAGGTTTGGGAAACACTGATCTAAACAACCGGTCCAACTCCAGCGGTCTCCTAATTAGGCCCCTCCCCTCTCCTCCCCCTCTCCTCCCTCTCACATTTTCTCAGCTCCCAGCTACAGGCACAGTTACCAAGGTGTTAATTACATCAAACATGGAGTCACAGTGACTTGTTTTCACAGAGTAAATACTTATAATCTGGCAAAAAAAAAAAAAAAAAAAAAAAGAGTTCCAGGCCACAGTGACACACCCGTGTTGAAAAAGCCAGTGATCAGGGTGAGGGGTCTCTTCAACCATCTGGACCCTCTTACAGTCTGGCTCTGGACCAGCTCTGTGCTATCATCAGCTGACTGAAGCCCCCCAGCCAGGCACGGTGCCAACACGAAGGCCCCCAGACCTGAGCTGAGCCGGGACTTGAAGCCCGCTGGTGGGAGACCACCGTGGAGTGAGACAGGCTCAGGTTGTCTTTGGTGTGTTTCTGCACACCCTCCTGGCTGGATGGGGAGATGGCAGCATGAGAAAACATGTTCACAGTGGGGGAAAGAAAAGGAGCAAACGCTGCGTCGGAGGAATGGGGGATGGGGTGGCGGGGGGGCATGAGTGAAAACATATCATGTGTAAGTTGCGTATAGGAAATTCTGGCTGAAGGGATAGAAGTAATGTCTAATATAAAACGTGTCGGCTGCAGGCTTCACCCACGAGGCTGGATTGTGTGTCTAGAGTTATGGCTTGCTAACAATACCTCCTTGTTCATTCGGGTTTAGCTCAGAGCGAATATATGACAGGAATTGGATCAGTAGTTGTCCAGGGAGTGCGCCTGCATGCCTTTAGAAACGTGTTTACTACATAAGAAAGACTTCCACTCGCCGTCTCCAAGGATTTGGCGGTCGGAGGCTCTTTGAAAACCCCGGTCCTGCCCATGTCCTGGCAGGTTCGGTGCTGACAGCACTGTTTCTGACTTCACGATGGATGGTCTGCAGAACTGTTTGTGCTGCAAATCAAAACGTCTTTAAGCATAAAACAGGCAGCACCGTATGATTGAAGGCTATGATCCATTAAGAAAATTGCTTCTTTTTTTTTTCTCTCGGCTGCGTCTCTTTCTCCTCCAGTCTTATTAAATCTTGTTTTTGTAAGAAAAACATTTGTTCTTGTGACTCAGATTTTACATAAAGATGGCCAAGAAACAAAGGTGTGTGTGTGTGTGTCTGTGTGTGTGTGTGTTGGTAGGTTTGCTGGTACAAAGTAGGACCAGGTGTGAACTTAGCTCAGACTCATTCTGTTTACTTTCCAATGAGATCGTAGCTCCTGGAGAGATGAATAAAACATGCACTGTCTGGGTCGGTACCTGTCTGGGTCGGTACCTGTCTGGGTCAGTACCTGGGTCAGTACCTGGGTCAGTACCTGCATTGGAAAGCCCGTGACCATACCGAAATTTGAAGGACAATATATTGCCCCACAAGTTATTGACGATTAACGATTTTATGTTTTATGTTTATGTTATTTTGAGACCACGTTAACCACAGATGTAATGATAATATCTAAAAATAATGTAAATTTATATGCAGTAAACTGATTTCTTTTATTTTTCCGGATTGTCAAATTTCCGATTGTACATGAATCGGGTTGTGGTGTTTCCCTGGTTATGGAAACGCCACTGAGTTGACACCTAAAAAAACCTTTGTCGACCAAATGCCTCAGTGAGTGTCGACTGTCAGGACGAAGGCTCTGCATCTCGAGGTGCAGTATTTTCCCTCATGTTCGTGGCCCTGCCTCCCCCCACAAAGAGCGGATGATTGTCAGGAGCCTGGTTGGAGGTTAGAGACCAGGGAAACGCGGATGACTGTCAGGAGCCTGGCTGGAAGTTAGAACGACTCATGCTAGTATCGAGGCTAGCAAAATTATCGACTTCAATTCCGTTTATCGTTTCGATTAACGGATTTATTGATCGATCGTCCCAGACGTGACTCTTTTCCACCACTTCACTGAGTCACACTGACATCTGCTCAGTTGTTCCTGTCGTCCAGTCGAAGAGCTCGGAGACCACAGTGATGTTGAAGTCCAACAGTCGGACTGTCAACAGCGTCACTCCGACTGTCATCGCTGTCAGAGGCAAGAACCATCAGTCCTGAACTGCTATGTTTAAAATACATCATCATCGTTCTCAGGGCCCCTGATTGGCTGGAGAAATTTCCAGCAGCCATTGGTCGAAGCCAAGGAACTGAGGACACACCAAAAATGTGTCTTTAAAGTGGAACGTTTTAAGTGACCGATCTTTTTCCACCATAGGAAACCTCTTTGTTATGGAGAAAACATTCAACTGTAGTACTCTATAGTACAGCTGGTGCAGTTACTCCAGCGCTAACAGTGGGTTTGTTGAGTAGAACCCGTGTTTGAGTGAAAACAGAAACTTGTTTACAAAATACTTCTTAACTTTAGCCGTGGGAGTTAGGACGAAAGATTGGATTTCTCCTGTGTTTTACGACAAATAAATTAAAAGAAAAACAACTTTTAATTAGCCGTCATTTATTACTTTAAAATGACTGGTTTAAAGTTTGGATTTTCCAGCTTTGAAACATTATTTTTAAAACCCTGTGAAGCCCATTTTACTGGAAAATTAGATTTAAATTTCAATTGGATTCACTTTGTAAGAGAGCAGTTAAAGCTATTTCCCCCGTCTCTTCCTCACCCACCTCACTTGGCTGTTGTTCTCCCC